ATTATTCCTTTTTAAAACGACAATGTTGCGTTGAGATTTGAGATGTAATGCTGTTTGATCACTGAGTGCAAAGTTATGAATCCGGAATAAATCTGGATGGAAGCTATAGGAATCAGAACTCATCCAGATCTACCAATAGAGCAAATGGATAATTCCACCTCAAACAATGCTGCATCAAACTGAACTTCGAAAGTAAGTACAGATAACATCCGATAACCAGCAAGTACCTTTCACTATCGCGCCCACAAATAGCACCGCAATATCAACGTTGCGTTATTCCAGTAATGCGACAGTAAACAGCCGGATGTGTCAGCTTCCAGTTCAGCCATCCCGAATTGATCGGTGTGACCGAGCGGGGAAGGATAAATTGTGTCGACCCGTGTGAAACGACAATGGAATAATCTCCAATCCGTTTGCTGTCCAATTGGCTGCCTCTCTGGAACGTGCCGGCGGTAAAAATGGCTCTCCCCAACCGCAAAGCTACCGGCGCCATTCTTCCGTCTACCTTATAGAGCTCATAGAGGAATAAAAGCTGCAGGTGTGCACTGCCAATGCATTCGGTACCTACTGGAAAAGGAAAAACAGGTCGGAGGGTGGAAAAGCTGCTGCATACCCACATGGGCACCAACCGAATCGATGACCTACTCTGCAGTGGATGGAATTGTTGGATATTGGATGCTGGAAAAGAATGGCTTCGCCAAATAATACATCCTGGCGCAATTCATTCCACAACCTCAATGAAAATTGCTTTGTAATGCTCATTACTTTTTCAAACAATCGTGGAAAAAGTTTCCAACATCAATGTCCCATCATCAGCCGCCAGCCATATTTTAATCGTGATATGTTTAGATGTCCTGCGCTAATACCCGGCTCCGAAGGGTTTACGACCATGGTTTACGTCAGTTTGAATGACTTTTTTCCTCCGAAACAGTCGTCGTCTTTGGGGTATCAATCTGATGAAACTATGGACTAGAAGCAGAAGTTCATTTGGAGGAGAGGAGTGGAAGTCACCAGCACAAATCCGACTTTATGGCCCTGGGAAAATTTGCCACAAAAAAATGGAGACAGACAGACGGAACTGTGCTGTTGCTGCTACTGTTCTGCTGTTGGGTCGTAATTTGATTAGGGTTCCGACAAAGTTCCGGAACGAAGGAAGCTCGAAAAAGTTTAAGTAATTTCGTAAACCAACGAAAGGGGTTGGTGGGGCTATTATTTCGTTGGTTTTATGATCATTGTTGCAGTTCATAGTTTTGGCGCTATTATTGTGGAGGGGTGAAGCATAGACAATGATTTGTTGCTTCGTTTATTCGGTTGATGGCAGCTGTGGGATTAGTTTAACTGCTTATTTACGTTTGATGTTCTATTGCAGGCCATTTAATAATATACACACTGAAGTCATTATGTGTCTGATTCATATTTCCAGAATAATTGAAAAAAATAAATACCATTCGGCATTGGATGTCGTATTAGAGACTAGCTTACGTTTCGAAAGAAAGAATATTGATGAAAGATTATGCATTTATTTTTATCGCTTCCACAGAACTGCAAGAACTATTTTTTTGAGTAACCCTCCGCTCTCCCTCACAGATCTGAAGAGATGTCGCTAACTGCGTTATTTGATTTTTTATCCCGGATCAGAAATATGTGGCATCGCTAGTGATAATTTTTAATTTCAGTTCATTTACGCACTGTAAGGTGCGTGAAAGAGGTCGGCAAGGTCGGTGTTAATGTTGGTTCGCTCGCAACTATTTTTGCAAAAAAATTGTTCGAAAAGTGTATCAAAAGTGCTTCAGAACGTGTTTCACAGTTGGGTGTGGTGAAAATCGTGCATTCCCGGTTGATTTTCGACAGGTTTGCTTTCGCGAGAGTGACGTTTATTGGACCCGTTTCTTTGCACGGGTGTGTTTTTTGTTATCAGCGGTGTGTAAGTGTGCTTGTGATTTTCATTGCCTCTCGTGAGGCCGGCTCATCGTGTTTGGATGTTACGCTTTCGGCGTGTAGTTCTATCGAGAGTCTCGTCACCGTGTGCGAGTTTTAACTCGGTCCGATTGGTAAATTAGCCGGAAAAAGTGCTGATAATGTGTTCGCCGCGAGTTTTGGTGGTGATTCGATGGCCGAAGTTGCCGTTTAATCAGTGAGTTTACGGCTTGCAAAAATACTCGTCTGCTGGTCTCTCACCAGTGTCGGAGATTGTGATAAAGCTAAATGATGCCTCGCTGGATACGCCCAAGACTGGATGGGCGGTAGCTGGTGGCCGTGAACGGTTCCTGGGGAAAGCACTAGACGCGAACCTCCTCCCAGATTTTTTTTTTAATCTTTATTTAAGAGATTTTTAGTCATAGGCTAGTTCATCTCTACCTCCTCCCAGATGACAATGACAATACAGGAAGTATTACAACAAAGGTAATTGCTATTAGATATTTTTTTGCAAACAGTGACAGATAGCATACATTAAGCTCAAGTGGAGGTGCCGGGCAATAGTGTTAAATATATCCTAGGCAAATGGTAAGTTAGAAATTCACTGTTGTCGTCGTCGTATTCGCCGTCGTATTCGTCGTCGTATTCGCCGTCGTATTCGCCGTCGTATTCGCCGTCGTATTCGCCGTCGTATTCGCCGTCGTATTCGCCGTCGTATTCGCCGTCGTATTCGCCGTCGTATTCGCCGTCGTAGTCACCGTAGCCAGTAACATTAGTATATTTAAAATTAACCATCATCCGCTGAAACTATATGAATTATCGCGTATTTTTGTTGTTCATTACATACTAAGTGAAATTCGAGCACGTAATTTGATTTGAATAGCTTGTTTAACCAGGGTTTAAACAATTTTCACGTCGGTCATAGCTTGCTATGATTGCCTGAACAATGCGTAAAGAGCAAATTGAAACATTGAACGTCACGTGAAAGTGGAACTTTATGAAAGCCTAAGTACTCTTTCATAGCTTTTAATTTTCGGATTTGAAAGTCGTCATGCTTACTGAGCAAAAAACACGGTCCCAGGTCCTTTCATATTAAAAAAGTATGGTAAGATCGCTTGTTTATCGTGAATTTTGTAAAACTTTTCGTTGTCGCCGTAGCCGCGTTACTATAGTTATAACAACTTGAGTAACGGAATAATGTGATACGAGGAACTCGGTGGCCTTAGAGCATCCATTTTTGCTTACTGAGGAGAACATCATGAGTCTAATCTCAAGCCCATCCACATTCAAAATTAGTCAATCGTTTTATTTGTTAACACGGCAACTCGATTATTAAAAAAGAGCTCGTCTGCCTAGTGGCAAACGTTTTTGCTTACTGAGCAGAAGACCGTGGGTTCAATCCCAAGCTCCTTCGCGTTATATGGTCGTTAGGACATCAAGTCAGCTTATCGTTGACCAAAACGAACCCTGCTGCAAACCCAACCCTCTTACCCAACATCCCAGTGATTACTCGTGGAAGTGCAGAGGTGTTCTCGACTTCCATCAATGCGAGTGTCACGTCAACACATTCCTACCCTTTCCTTTCTTGACCAGTGTCCGGGCGCAACAGGCGCTAGTATTGTCTAGTTTGAGATCACCAGTTTTTACACATTGAGGACACACCAAACCAAGCCAAAAAGCTCGGCTGCTTGCTGAGCTCCCTGGTAGACCTGTGCGCCACCTCGCTATGCGGCCTTGATTTTCATTCGCCACCGCCGACGATGAAATTGAGTCGGTGCACCGCCGCAGTAAAATGGTTCATGCCGCCAAATAAATGTATGTCACGTCGATGAAAAATCCGTAACATCTTTTCCGTAAAATGCATCTTGAACGCATTGAAATTAGAATTTTTGTGCGCGATCGTTCGTGGCTACTCATAATTGATTGAAAATCCACTCAATTTAAGTAACATATCCAGAACTGTATGTTGAGTAAAAAGGCTTGGTATTTGTTGACGAGTTATTTCTGCTCATTCAAAAATACACAAATGGGCAAATATTTCGTTTGATTTCTTTTTTTCTTTAGGATTAAAAAAAAACAAAATCTGAAGAACATTTTAATCATGCAGTCCATTTTATAGCAAACAGAATGCGGTACGTTTTCATATCCACGGCGGCTGCAATTTGCTCCATTTTCGAATGATTTGTTACGAAATTTTCAAATTTTCTGCTGCGACGGAAAGGAAAACTTCGTCAACAGGGCTGAAAACTCAAAATTGAGGCAGTCAAACCTGCTATGGAATCAATCGACGTGAATTAACCGATTCATAGACGTCATCGGGCCTTACTTCGGAACTGATTATCATCTCAACATTTGTTAGGACTGTTGAAGGCTCCCTGGTCGATTCCCGTTTTTTATTCGAATTTACGGACCTGAATGCTTTCGGGCCAGTAGAAGGAATCGCTGACAATACCTCTGGTTTGACGGCGAATGCAAACTGTTAGTAGAGGAGAAGAATGCAGCACGGGTGCGAATACTGCAACACCACACGAGATTGAATGTTCAGCGATACAGACAAGCGCGGAAGAGACAAAATTCGGTTTTTCGAAGGAAGAAGCGTCAGCAGGAAGACCGAGATCGTAAAACGATGGAAAATCTGTACCGCGAAACGGAAATTATATGAGAAGCTAAATAGCTCGCGCAAAGGCTACGTACAGCAAGCCGATATGTGCAAGGACTTGGACGGTAACCTTCTCACGAACGAGTGTGAGGCGATTGAGAGATGGGACCTGCGGACCCTTCGCAGACTACGAGGCTGGCGAACTGTGGCCATGGATCGAGTAGAGTGGAGACGACTTATTCGGACAGCAGAGGACAACAAGGCCTTAGCCTGATTGGTAAGTAAGTCGAAATCTCTTTAATGTGTTCAAGGATGTCGACTTCTGTTTGATCAATAGCAAGTGGGGTTACGTAGAAAAGCCTAAGCACTTCTTCAGTCTGATCATGTCGACGTTGGTTCCTATTTGCAACTCTCAGACGACATTTTATTAGTGGGTATCGTTCTTCATCACCTTGCCAGTTAGTGACGAGCGTTGCAGCAGATAATGAGAAGAGGGAGCCGTAGTGGTGGAGGTGGAAGCAGTAGCAACAGTAGTTGTGACAGCAGGAGTACTGGCTGCAGTAGTGGCAGTGGCAGTGGCAGTGGCAGTGGCAGTGGCAGTGGCAGTGGCAGTGGCAGTGGCAGTGGCAGTGGCAGTGGCAGTGGCAGTGGCAGTGGCAGTGGCAGTGGCAGTGGCAGTGGCAGTGGCAGTGGCAGTGGCAGTGGCAGTGGCAGTGGCAGTGGCAGTGGCAGTGGCAGTGGCAGTGGCAGTGGCAGTGGCAGTGGCAGTGGCAGTGGCAGTGGCAGTGGCAGTGGCAGTGGCAGTGGCAGTGGCAGTGGCAGTGGCAGTGGCAGTGGCAGTGGCAGTGGCAGTGGCAGTGGCAGTGGCAGTGGCAGTGGCAGTGGCAGTGGCAGTGGCAGTGGCAGTGGCAGTGGCAGTGGCAGTGGCAGTAGACTTGGCAGTAGAAGTGACAGCAGTGGTAGTAGTAATAGTGGCAGTAATGGTAGTGGGAGTAGAAGTAGCGGCAGAAGTAGCGGTAGAAGTAGGGGTAGTAGCAATAACTGATGCAAAAGTATTGGTAGATGCAGTCGAAACGGAACTTGCAGTATTTTGCGTGGCTGTGAGGTGGTTTAGAGAATTGTTTTCCACGATAGGTTATAGAGGTACCAGACCATCCTCACCAGGTGATGAGTTCTCCAACTATGATTGTACGGAACTGTCCAGGTTTATCCGATCAATACTCGAATGGAAATCCGCAAGAGCGCCAGTAGAATAACCGGAAATTAATTATTGGAGACGATTGAATGCATTGAATTCCCTTCTGTTAGATGATACAGCCGATAACACTGAATTGAGAAATTTCAAATTTTTTCCATATTGTCCGTTACGCAGGACCATGAAATCCACACGTACCAGAAAATCCCTCAAAGTTTTCAGAAGCGCTGTCTCTCGATCCATGATAACAGGATTGAAATTTACTCGGCAGATGTCTCACATTTGCCGTCCAGGCTTTGTGATTCGTCGCGTTTAATCTAACACAGTATGGGTGAAAAAAATTTAGCACATGATCCACTGCACAGGACGGTCTTATCCGTGGGCTCAGTTGGATTGCCACAAATCCTACATGGATCCATGATCCTCAAATTCACCCTAAGTGTATTCTTCTTCTTCTTTCTTTCATTTAACGTCGGTCTCTGTTCCGAAATCTAGTGCCAATAACCGACGGACATCGATTGTCATCCATTGACAGCATCCATTGCATAGGCAGCTTCCACACCTGCGTAGGATATCGCACCCATTCAAACACACATGGGCCGGGACAAATGGCTTTACTTCCCTTCCGAAGAAAGACGTCACCAGAGATTTGTATGCCTCATAAAAATCCCACCGACCTTCGCTAGAACTGAACCCATACCCATTGGGGTGAGAAAGTAGTCACGCTTACCACTACACCACAGGCACCGGCAATCCCTAAGGGTCTGCAGCACACTTCCAGATAGAAATCCCTATCAGGGAAAGTATGTACATTCAGTTGAGAACAAGAAATCTACCTTGAACTTGTTAAAAGCGGTCAGACGGACCACTTCGCTAGGCCCTCGATCCCTGGTCTAGCCAAAGGGGATCACTGAGGGTGGGTTCTCCAACAACCTCTTTTGTGGTGGCTTTAGCTCGAGCATGAAAGAGGACCCTTCAGGGTCAGCTATAGGTAGGATTGTTCGATCAAGGAATTGAAAGCACTTTCTCTCTTGTTAATTAGCTTTTTATTTAGACTTACTGTGTGTGTGTGTGTATGTCGGTAGTGTCTCACGATGCGGCCGGATGCAAGCACGAAATGCGGGAATGTCGCCTTTGCCTTGACGCTCGGGGTAATTCCTACGCCGAGTCCAAGAGGGACGGATCGTACGCCGGATTGGTGGATCACACTCCTTCAGACGTCGGCGCTAGAAGTCCAATCGCACGCCGGAATGGCGGATAACTTTCTGGACAATTCAGGCGGTTATTAATGGGTCCTGATTCCTATTTAACTTCCAAATCAAATTTGGTAACGGTGATTTCAAATAAACTTCTTTATCTTTAACTTTATCTCTTATTTGTTTTTATGGAGGATAGTAAACTTTACGCTTCGAAGCTCTGGATAAAAAAGACGCTTATCAAGTTATTACCCGGTAGCTTGACCCTCCTTTTTCCATACCCTTTGTTCATGTTCCCTTTTTGACGTGTCCAGTCCCGGTATCTGTGGCAACTCTTGTTTTCCCTTTTTGGCTCACTTCATACTGTTGTGTAGTGTGTGTTGTGGTGTGAAGTGTGTTAACAAATTATGTCCTTATCAATAGCTACTCCGGAGTATTTATCAATTTTTAGCATTAAAATTTACAAACATTTATAATTATTTACTTTACTAACCTACTAACAAACAAACATTTAATTAATATGTTACAAAATCTAGCTTAAATAACCTCAACAGTAACAAACTAGAACTGCACTGCACAAGCTAAGTTTCCTATACAATGCTAAATAACCGTCTCGCTCAGAATCCACCAAAGCATCCGACCAGAACCAGAATCTAGCCGAGTTGGTGTATATCAGCCCTTGAGACCGCTGATATACACAGCAACAGTGGCTCTATTCACGCATCAGTACCGTTTGCACTGTTAAACTTGTGACCAGGACTGGCTCAGGTTGAACAAAACAGAAACAGCAAATTCTAGTACTACCCAAAGAGCAACTAACACAGATACAGCATGAGCTCAAAGTAGATAACACAAATAAAACACAAACACTCCTGGCAACGATATATGTACCACTGTCAATGGCGGCAGAATAGAAGTAAAGAGGCCCAATTCAGTCTCTTAAAATAGAAGCAGGGAGTGAATTTTCAAACCAGCTCACCATTTCGATTTGGGCAAAGCTCGATGTGCACGGATGTGGTATATGAGTTAATTGTTTACCAATCCACTGAAGTTGCAGTCCAAATGGTTGTAGACGATACTAATAAAACCGATCTGGAATCATAGCGCTTATCTATACAGATTTGTGTGGCAATTACTAGGTTTTAATAAAGATTTAAAAAATTTTATAAACCTTTTTATGTTGTTTTGCTGCTGATTAATCTCCCTCTGGACGTATTCACAATGAGTTTGTTTTTATAGAAAGTTAATATTTATGACGCGCGAATATCTGCGAAGTCCCTGAAGTTTTGCAGAATTCTTTCAAGTTAAAGTAAAATATCAGAACTTCAACGGATTTTCTCCAATTTCTACGAAATTTGCTAAATTTATTTAAACTTTGCTAAATTGCTACAAACTTTGGTGATCTACAAAGTTATCAACACTTCTAGAAAAATTGCTGTACTTCATCATAATTCAAAAATTTCTACATAGTCAGTTTGACGACTTCAAAATTTGCTGCAGTTCTTAAAAGCTTCTTGAAGTTCAACGACGTTTCATGAAGAACAATTAATGCCCCTGAACTTTTACGAAGTTCTTAAATTTTTACATCATATGATGTTGTCTCAGCTCCTACAAATTGTCCTTGAATTCCTTTAACTTTTGAGAAGTTCCCTGAACGTCTGGTAAAACTCATTCATATAAATATGATATATTTAACAACCTCCCTCACTCTTCAATTTGAAAACATTTCGTCGATCTTCTTGAAGATGTTTTGACGTAGGACTACGTCTGTGATTTCTACATGGGGCTACACTTTGTGAAAACCAAAAATGGTACATGTAACGAAATTATGAAAGATTTTGAACGTTAATAATTGAGCTGCCCCTGGACCAATTTCAATAACTTTATCACCAATCGATCAGATATATTTTTACGAATCGATAACATGCTTCCGACTGATGATTTTTAATAAGAAACTTTTGAAAAAGTCAAAATGTCAAGCATTGTCCAAAAGCGTTGAAATAACTAACAAATCCACCAATTACGAGCATGCATATGCTGCTTCCCCAACACATTCAGCAGAGAATCGGTCTTGCTTGCAGCTCTCAACCAGAACCGACAAATTAAAGAGTAAATTTTACGAGGATTTAATACCAACTGTTTACAGACCTATTGTAGGTATCAGTTCCGATAGTATATTTGCGATTGACGTTTTGGTGAGACAAATCCAATCATAATTTGAAAGCTCCGATTGATTGAAAACCATTTTCCATTCATAAAATTATGAGAAAAAAATTTCCGCACGTCACACCCATCAGCCGCACTAATGGGAACAATCCTAAATCTATTCAATATCATAACCAATTTATACGATTGTCAGGCACAACGTGCGCTGAATTGCAACCGCTCGTCACATACGAAATAGTTTGGAATTCAATTCCAATCCGGCTTGCTTCCCCCTTCCCATCAGCCGGTCTGACACCACAACGTCAGCTGCCCGTCACAAGGATGACCTCGAGAATAGAGTGCAGTTTTCGGTCGTCGTCATCATCGTCGTCGCCACCGTAGTGGTCGCTGAATAAGAGCTGTCTGCATTGCGGTTTCCATTTGTCTGGCTGACTCTCGAACGGTTTACCATTTTTTTTTCGGCATTCTGTAGCTAAAAATATTCCTGAAATCCATTTCATGCCCTGTCATCGAAAATGAACATCTCTGGACGGGAGAGTGAGAAGGGGTGAGTTTTGTTGTTTGCGACAATGAATGCCTTGGATTGAGATGTCTTGCAGTTCGGGAAAATGCAAATTTTGATCGACGACAAAACTGATTAACTTAAATTGAAAAAGTTGAACATGGTTCTGATTCCGGATGAGAGCCCCTGGTGGCAAAAGAAGCAGTTGTTAACGATATGGGCTTACATTCTCATAACAGATAGGCTTATCTTTGGCGAAGCCGGGTAAAAACCTGACGGTGATGACTTATCCTCGTGTAAGTGCTTTCACTTGTGCCGTACGCACCGCTCTTTGAGAAACTTTATGCTTTGATTTTACAGCGCTTCTTTCTCCGTATGCAGTGATGTAGACGGGTGGGTTACATAAATACCCCCGGCATGCCAACCAAACCTGACACCACCTACGCCCACATGTACTTACATTTATGTGTGTGCAAGATTCGCTGCTAGTTTCAACGACTAAAAGCGCGAGCAGATGAAGAAGACAATTTATGCAAATTGAATCAAAACAAGATTTATTCATGAGACGACAACGGTTGTTGGTGCGATATCTCTTCGTCGTCGTCGTCGTCGTCGCTCGTCGTCTCCAGGTCGTAAAAGCTTGCTCTGCTATGTTGGTTGATGTAGGAAAACTATTTGCCAAGTAAAGTGCGAGTAACTTTGTTCGGGCAATCTTTCATCCTATGGAAAGGATGAATTTTCCTTATGAATATTCATCATTCAAATGTAGGGAGAAAATGGTTGGAATTACCGACTGTAACCAACGGCTCATTCGAAGGAATGGACTGAGATAATATGAGGGGAAGATGCTTGCGCTGGTACGATGGTAGGCACACATGAGTTGAGTGAGATGTACGATGAAGGTTTACCTAAGAAGCAGTAGATCAGATTACGTTCCTTATGAACTGAGTTATGCTTCGATGGATGATTGGAGACATCCGTTCATT